CTTTCAATGCCACAGACCAGTGGTTTTCTGTTTGTTGTTTTATTGTATTTTATTATCTTGTTTTATGGATCGTTATACAGTGTCCAGAGAGCTTTAGCTATGGGGCAGTATAGAAATGAAATAGCAGCAGTAGCATTAATTGTACCTCCTGCATCTTTGCAGCAGACACCGCTCTGGGTATTGCCCAGGCTGGGGCTTTAAATCCCTGCACTTACACAACTGTGAAGGCTCAAAGTTGCACAAGACCAACTGCAGGTTTTTTGTTTTTTCACAAAATGCCATGTGTATAAGAGCAATTTTTTTTCCACATTTTTTAAAGTTTCTGCCAGCCACTGCCAGACCCTCGAAGGCACCACTTTGAAGTAGGGGTTTAGTGACTGTCAAAATAGTGATTGTGAAAGGCAGCTCAGGGAGATTAGAATAAATGTAAAAGTGACACAGGGAGTCAAAAAAGAGTGCTCTTGGTCACAGTGGGGAGGGGGTGGAAGGGGTAGTGGCGGCCACAGCAAGCTTGGGAAAAGCAGCAACGGGTTTTTGCCACCCTTGCCAAGATAGCCGCTGACCACTGGACTTTACCTGCAGTGGGATCAGTTATTCAGCTTTCGACAATCCACCAGGGTAAAACAACCCCTACAGCAGCCCACTGAATCCATGCAGAGAAGTGTCTGTGCCAAGTAGAAACTTTGTAACCCACTGGTAACTATTTTTTGAGATTTTTTTAATGGTAGGCGGTGGAAGTCACCCTTTGCAGCAGAATCCTTGGGGGGTTTTTTGGCGGCAGTCTTTATTTATTTATTTATTTATTTATTTATTTAAAACATTTCTATGCCGCCCCATTCGCCGAAGCCTCGGGGCAGCTCACAACATAAAATTAAAATATAAAACATTCAAATATACAACAAATTAACAATATAAAATAAGTCGCCCTGGCCAGATAAAATAAGCAAATAATATTAACAATTAAAATGACGTTTAAATAAAAAGGTCTTCGCCTGGTGCCGAAAAACAAATAATGACAGCGCCAGGTGGACCTCTCTGGGAAGCGCATTCCATAGATTGGGCGCCACCACAGAGAAAGCCCTCCTCCGAGTACCTACCCTCCTAATTTCTTTCACGGAGGGTTCCCGGAGAAGGGCCTCTCCCGCAGATCTCAAGGGGCGGCCGGGCATATATGGATGTAAGCGCTCCTTCAGGTAACCAGGACCCAAGCTGTTTAGGGCTTTATAGGTCATCACCAACACCTTGAATTGGGCCCAGACTTCAATGGGAAGCCAGTGAAGCTGACGGAGGACTGGAGTCATGTGAACATAACGCCCAGTCCCCGTCAGCAGCCTGGCCGCTCTATTTTGAACCAATTGAAGTATCCGGACCATCTTCAAGGGTAGCCCCACGTAGAGCGCGTTACAGAAGTCAAGGCGGGAAGTCACCAGCGCATGTGTCACTGTCGCCAGGCAGTCGTACTCCAGGTAGGGGCGCAGCTGATGGATCAGCCGAAGCTGAAGGAAAGCGCTCCTCGCCATTGCTGTCACCTGAGCTTCCAATGAAAGCTCTGGGTCTAGGAGCACTCCCAGGCTGCGGACCTTGTCCCTAAGAGGGAAGGCAACCCCATTCAGGACTAAGTTCAATTCACCCTCTCCGAAGCGCGATCCGCGAACCAACAGGACCTCCTTCTTGTCTGGATTGAGCTTCAGTTTATGCCCTGGGAGACTTTCCTAAGTGTGGATAGTGTAGAAGCAGTTTTTTAAAAGTCAAGCCATGGCCAGCACTAAACGGCTTGCTGTGGCTCAGGGGACATCTCAGTGCTCCTGCAGCATCCCCTGGGATACTGTAAGGGGGGGCGGGGAGGAGGGAGGATGCACAGAGCCCCTGCTCTGCCTGATTGTTTGTCAGGCACCCAGGGATCTTAACCACACTGCACAGTCAAAATGCCCAAGGGGCTTCATGTGTTGTGTGAAAGTGTCAGACTACCCATGATGTACCTGGCAGGATTATTTGAACTTAAGCTCTCATCTGAGCTCCTTGGTGGGATAGATGTAGGGCAGGGGAGCTTAGTACATGCCTGTCCGAAAAGCAATGGAATTGTCAACTCAGATGGCACAGCAAGGATGCCTGAGGAACAAACTGGATATGCCACTCACTGTGTGGATGCAATCAACATGCATATTTTTTGTTATGCAGGTAGTAGACATGGGGCAAACCTGAGAAAGGAAGCCATTTCAAAGACTTCTCTTGAAATGCAAATCTTCAGAGAGACAGGTTTTTATGGGACTCTCCCCAGGTTTTTATCACTCTACACCTGTGGTCTGCTGTTTACATGAGTAAAACTTGCCTGTTAATTGTATTCATACAATTAACTTCAGGTCTAGGTTGGCCAAACTTGCTGCTGTTGATGGAGGAGATGAAGGGTATGTTGGGCCAGTGGAACAGCTCGCTGGCAAGAGGTGGAAGCCTGACTAGTTCAGCTTATCATCCATTCAGCATATCCCAGGACACCTGATGGCAGATATGGAAGTGGGTGAGACTGAGAACAGGCCTGAGGTACAGTAACTTCATACATGGAACAACAAACTGCAACCAACACATGGACACTTGCCAGGAAGAGATAGGATGCTTCTGGGTGAGGCTTTTGTCCTGCACTCACCTTAAACATAGAATTTTACAGAGATGGGGAGAATGTAATCATCTTCCATTTGTGAACACCCCCACCGATTTCATCTTTTTCCTGTAATCTGTTAAGGTGGGGAAGACAGAATGATTCTACAGTATCTTTTTCCTGATAATGCCAAGAAGCCCTAGTCAGTCCCAAGTCCCTGAAAAGTATGCTTGCAAGCATGTTTATTGCATGTACAGGTTACATTTTAGGTGTGCATGTAACACATCTTGGTCACTTTCTTCCTCCCTAAAGGTGCAGTCTTGCTCAAAAAGATCAAGTACATTGGTCAGTGAAGCGAGCCAAAATCTAAGTTGAGCCCACAACCTGTATGATTAATTGCAAGTCTCTCTTACTCCCTCATCCCTATGCACATCAAAAATCCTTTTAAGCAAATTATTCTTCGGAGAACAGCAGCAAGAATGATCAGTAATTGATTAGTAATTGATGTGGTAATTACCCACAGAAGGAGACAAAGAGTACATTTACAACAAACATCGCCTGCCTGTGCAGATTCCATCAGTTAACTCAGATAGCATTGCTATAGCAAAGGGGAAACAACAAAGAGATGGGGAGAGGCCGGATATGATTCTGCTACCTTTGCTATCTGCTAAGAGATGAGCCTTGTATTGACAGGCAGCTGAGGCTGGGATAAGAGGACCAGATGCAATACTTCTACCTGCTGGGAATGGACCAGATACAATACTTCTGGTCAGCATACAAATGTAGCACACTCCGGGGCCAGCCAAACCCTTCATTCAGCCTCAGTATGTCAGGCTGGGAGCCAAAGGATTCTGCAGTGGGTCAAGATCCTTTTCCAGAGGGTCCTCCACACTGCAATTAAAGAAACTAATTACATTTATGCATTGCTGAAAGGGGTCCCAAAGCCATGTGCAAAAGAATAAAAATATTCTTTTCAGATATAATAGACAATTGCATTGCCATTCAAATTGCACACATTTATAAAAGTGGCCTTTGATACCATCAACCATGGTATCCTTCTGAATAGACTGGCTGGGTTGGGAGTTGGAGTTTTTGGAGTGTTTCTGCTCCTACTTGACTGGCCAATTCCAGAAGGTGTCACTGGGGGATTATTGCTATGTGCCATGACAGTTATGCCATAGGGTACTGCTAAGCTCTATTTAATGAAGAGAGTGGCAGCTGGGGAAGGGTCTTTTCAGTTTTGGCACCCCAGTTGTGGACTCAGCCTCTCAAAGAGGTACGCCTGGCACTTATTCTCTATTCCTTTTGGCACCAGGCAAAAGCCTTTTTATTTACCCAACATTTTAATGGTTAAATGATTTTAATTCTTTTAAAAACAATTTTACTCTGAGTTTGTGTTAGATTTATTGTTCTGCTGCTATACCTTTGAACTAACTTGACTGTTGTTGTTTTTTATATTATGCATAATCAATTTTAATGTTTCTGATTTTGTTATTATTTTATTTTATGCTGCTGGTTATTTTGGCTCTGTGAACCACCCAGAGACCTGGTTTGGGCTCATGAGCAGTAGAAAAAATAAACAAACAAATTAAAATAAAAAGTATTTATTTAAAAGCTCACCTAAGGAACAAAAAGTGACCTAAGGAATGAACTACAAGCCACCCACCAGCAAAACTGGTCTATGAAATTATCCAAATGCCCAGGAAAGGGGGAACTTCTTTGCCTGGTGCTTAAACGAGGACAAATTCGGTGCCAAGTGAGTTCCTCGGGGCGAACTCTCCATAATCAGGAATGATTATGAACGGAGGAATTTTCCAGAGCAGGGCGCAAGACTGCACAGGGATGTGCAGGTCGGGGCGGCATTGGGAACTTCTCCCGTGTGCACAGAGAATTGCTTTCTGCTTGCACCCAGGACTCTTTTGAATCCCAGCTTAGATCTACATGAGAAAATAAATTAGCGATCCTCTAGGAAAATTTTTGTGTAGAAAAGGTTTCCAAGAAGAAGTCTTGCCGTGGAAGCAGTGGCAATCCCATAGTTTAGATGTGTGCGTTAAATGGAGCAATCGATAACTGAACAGACAGGACTGAATGAACTGACACAGTATTACTATATTATATCCAGTGTCTCTTCGGATCATATACATCTTTCCCCAAAATAGCACATATTTGTCACATGTGTTTGCTCATTTTTAGTTAAGATGGCAAAATGACCTCACATTCTTATGAAAAGGTTAACATAAGCCAGATGGAGCTTTACATAAATACTAGTATTAACCAGATGGAAACTTTTCATGCAGGGTGTATCTAAAGCAATAAATCAGTGTTAGCTAATACCCCTGGTGAGAAGTAAGCTGTTCTGCTCTGGATGATGGTGGTGGTGACGAGGACTGTATTCCTTTCTTTGCAGCGGTCACTTGTGATGGTGGACAAAGTGAGATCCCTGAAGGTCAGTACTTATTTATTTATTTATTTATTAGAACATTTCTATGCCGCCCCTTGCCGAAGCCTCGGGGCGGCTTACAACACAATAAAATACAATAAAATACAAAAATAACAATATAAAATTAAAATTAACAATATAAAATAAATATAAAATATAAAAGAAGTCACCCTGGCCAGATAAATAAGCAAATATTGTTAACATTTAAAATGCTGCTGAAATAAAAAGGTCTTCGCCTGGCGCCGAAAAACAAATAACGACGGCGCCAGGCGGACCTCTCTGGGGAGCGCATTCCATAGATTGGGCGCCACTGCAGAGAAAGCCCTCCTCCGGGTACCTACCCTCCTAATTTTTTCATGGAGGGTTCCCGGAGAAGGGCCTCTCCCGCAGATCTCAAGGGGCGGGCTGGCATATATGGATGTAAGCGCTCCTTCTACTCAGTCTGTGGAGTCAGCACACTGCTTTGAGTGTATTAAGGCCAGAGTCCTCCCTGTCATTAGGCAGCAATGGCTCCTGAGTCTGCCGCCCCCTGGGCATTCATTCCCCTCTCTGGGGAACAGAGCAGTGAGTGGCTCATGGTCTTGCTGAGCCCCCTAGACTAGCTGGCTGCCTGCGGCTGCAGGAGAGGACACTACCCAGGTAACCAGGGTGGACTCGGGGATTCAGCAGCTACTCCAGGCAGCTTCTGTATTTGGAACTGGATGTGGGTGTGCAGTGTTCCCCTTCACCTCAGGTATCCAAATGTCTTGACCAGCCCTGTTTAAAGCTGCCATTCTGAGCGCACTCCCCTGGGAGTAAGCCCCACTGGCCACATATTCAGAATAAAATCCCATGTTTCTTGTGTGAATCTAACTTTAATTTAAACCTGAAAGTAGGCTCTGTTTATGCCTCATCTGAATCAGCATTTACCCTTGCCCCAAGAACAGGGGAGAAGAAGCAGTAACAGTTGTATGTCCCTTCTGATTTAATATGTGATTTTATCAGTACTTATTGTTTTAATAATTTTATAGCTATGGGAAAACTGTGAGATATTAGCACTTCATTAGTTTTAGATTCTACCCTCTGGAAGTCAAGGAGCTCTGCTCACATGAGGTCCTGCAGCTCAGTTTTGCGGCCACCCTGCACCAGAGTGTTTCCTATCCAGCAGGGTCTCCTGACTCTCCATGTAGCATTTTGAGTAGGGCTGGGGACCAAAATGGGGTGGAGGGGGTAAAATCCAAGGCACTGCAAAGAAATCAAATGCATTTACATTCCACATTTCTTCGTAAGAAAAGACACGAATTAGCCAAAGTTCTTTTATTTTGATTTATTTCAGTGAAGTAGATTTAAGCCATGATCATGGGAGGCAGAAGTCTCAGCCCATCTGAGAGTGGATGGAGAGAGATAGAAAGAAAGCTATACTATGTGCTGCAGTTCTGCTGGCAGCCCTTCACTGTGATCATTTTCACCAACAGTGCAGCGTGTGAGACTCCATGGTACTGGCTCCAGATGTTCTGGCTGGTTGGAGAGGCTGCACATGGGCAAATGGAAGAGAATCTCTAGCAAAAATTGGACACTGCAGAATGCAGAAGTGACCTGTAAGCAACTTCTCTGTGGCGTCCCAGTTGGGATCCTGAAGCCATATTCTGAAGCAGCAGAAGAGCAAGACACCTGCCTGGTGGAATGCCTGGGGGAGGAGGCGACCCTCGAGGACTGCATTTGGCATGAGTGCAACCACACACACCACTTGGGTGTGACCCTGGTGTGCCAAGGTAGACGTCGCACCCTTTCCTGCTTGCATTCTTCGAGTAAGGCAGGCCCGACACTGACATGGGAATACTTGCCATACAAAGCAATGAGAATGTCTTGGGAGCATTTTCATCATACTGCTGTCTGTCTATTTCATTTTTATGCTGCCCAATAGCCAAGGTTCTCTGGGCAGTTAAAGAAAACTTAAAAACGTACGAACAAGAAGGAGGGAGAGAAAAATAACATAAGGCAATAAAATCACAGCAATTGTAACCAAATCAGCACAGAGCTACAGCAGCGGTACAGGATAAAATGTAATATTAAAACTAAAGTTGGAAAGTTAACTGTTAAATTACTGGGAAAATAAAGAGGTTTTCACCTGAAGCCAAAACAAATACAGAGTAGGCACCAGGCGTTCTTCTTTGGGGAGCTCATTCCATAGCTGGAGTGCTACAACCCCAACATTAAGCACAGGCAGATCTTTTTTTCTGTCAGGGGAAAGGCTCTGAAAAATTGCTCCACAAGTTTTTAGTCCAGTTCCCTTTGAACTGGAGGGGAGAGGTAGAGCAATGCTGTCTTGCTTTGCCTGTAGCTTTACTGATTCATTTTTCCCACTTGCAATTCCTGGACTGGGCTGTGGTCTGAGACATATGGACTCGCTTCCTTTCCTTTCTATTCTGTATTCCATTGATAGAACTCAGTGTTCTAGCCAAGAAAGGGAACTATACATATAATAAATATGCCTACATTGTTGTTAAAATGCATATTTTAAAAAAGAATGAACAGCCCTCGTGAAGCATAACAAGAGCAACAAGACGGCTGGCTGAGGCAGTGTTGGAAAGCCAGGATCAGACCTGGCTAGTGAAAAACCAGAGGTGACTACCGCTGGAATGCTTCTGCCATCTTCCCTGTTTCTTCTGTGGGCAGAGCTCATCCTGTCTAAAATGCCTTGGGTTGTACTTGTAATTTCAGATCCTAAGCAAACCTCGACAGTATCAGAGACCACAACCACAATGTTGACGACCTTGTCAGAGTCCACAGGTAAGAAAGCCAAGAACACAAATCCCCCAGATTAGAAGTGAGCAATGCTACAGAAGCTGATCAAATTGTAATCCTTGATCCTTCTGTTCCCAGAAGGCCTAGCAGAAGCTACTGCTCACAGAAGTGTGTATTCGGCCGGGTGGGGAGGATTTTTGTAACACCTGCTGTATTACCAACCATTTTCCAGTGCAGATTTTCAAGGGGCATGGAGATCAGCAGCAGGAAGAAGGAAATCAGAGAAATTCATCCCTTCCTGCTTCTGAAGTTTTATGATCAGAACTCGATCCAAGGGATTGCTGCCTTCAGTCCATAGAACCATACAATATTCAGAAAAGGGCAACTAAAATGATCAAAGGGCTAGAGAAGCTTTGCTATAAGGAAAGGTTACGACATCTGGGATTGTTTGGCTTAGAAAATAGGAAAGTAGAGGAAACATAAGGTTCAGAAAATGATTCAATGGGTAGAAAAAGTGGATAGGAGGCCATTTTCCTCTCTCTCAAATTATTAGAACCTGGGGTCATCTCATGAAACTGATTGGTGAGAGCTTCAGGACAGAGAAGAGGAAATACTACTTCACACAGAGTGCAGTTAAACAATGGAATTCAGTACCATAAGATGGGCCTTATTTTGAATGACTTTATAGGGAAATTTGAAAAAGCATAGCTCACCTTATGTCCTTTTGTTCATTTTGTTGCTCCTCCAACCCAGTTTGGAGAAATTCTTCTGAATCTTGTTCATGAAACATGAAAATATCATGGCTTACAGCACAATGCTAGGCCTGTTGCCTGAGAATTAAGTCCCAAGTAAAAATGTAGATAGAATTGCAACCCTGGTAAATTATGTAGCACTTTTTCTAAGTTTTCAAAGTGATCCGTTATATATTTCCACACAGTTTTGTTAGATAATTCAATATCACTGTCCAGCAAGCATCTTTTGCTCACTTCTCTTATGTCTGCTTCTTATAGACGCTCCAAAGATAAAGCTAGATGATGGGACTTCATTATGCCTCGAGTCTGTGAAGCTGAACTTTAGAGGCCACTGGGAAACAGTTTGCCTGGGTTTACAGCGGTGGCAGAATAGGCTGAAACCCACCTTCTGCCAAAGAGAAGACTGTGAAGAAGCAGTAGGACTTAAGAACCCCCAGAGGGAAAGGACTTCGCCTGCCCAGTGGGAGAAGGCGCAGTGTGAGAAGAGGAACTTTAGCTTGGACTGTCTGGACAGCTCTAAGGAATGCTTCCACCTAACCTTGATGAAATGCTCAGGTGAGTGAGGCTGGGAGGAGAACATACCCGAGCTCTGTTTTTAAATTTTTTTTTCATGATTTGAATGAGAGAGGAAATTGGTCTGTTACTCTGCCTTACTATTGCAAGGGTATTGAAGCCATTCTGTCCATAGGGTGGTTGGCTTGTAGAATTCTGGATTGTAGCAAGTAAAAGGATGCAGTATTCAGTCCTCACCATGTTAAACAAGAAAGCTGGAAAAAGTTCCTCACATGGAGTAAACTAATCTGCCAGAGAGAGGGCTTTGTTATACGGTAATAATACCTGCAGGACTACTTTTTTACATAAATGAACATTTTAAAATATAGCTCCACCTCACCTGCAGTTTGAAAGATACAGTCGTGAATTCTACTACTTCACCACCTTGCATCATGTGGAATGGCTTTTCATTTTCTGTGCTACCTGAAAATTAGATTTGAAATATTCCGTTGACCCTCTTAACCCAGCTTTCCCTCAACCTGGCATGTTGGACTACGAATCCAGTCATCCCCAGCCAATATGGAAAACATCTGGAGGTCAGCATGTTGGGGAAGGCTATCGTAATCATTTGAACACTGCAGTTCAGAACTGGCATACTGGATTGTAGATAATTTTTGAAAGAAAGCATTTGAATGCTGTTTATGGGTAGAGCAATTCTGTGTGTAGATTTGGAATGCTCTGAGGTCAGAGCATCTAGCAAAAACCAGCAGTATTTCTCACCATGGCTTTCTTTTTTACAGCTGTTTCCTTCTCCGTGCAAGTGATAGGATGGCGATTATTTATAATAATGCCAGGACAGGTGTAACTTTTCCCTCATGCTAGGAACCAAGAAATCTTTGGCTCGTGTGAATCCAAGATCTCCCCAAATTGCCACTCCCTTTAGACCTGTTTCAATGCCTGCTTGAAGCTCTCTCCTGACTTCAGAGTAGGACATTACATGTTTTCTGTGTCCCCCAGGACACCCTCTCAGGGATCACTGGACTACACTGTTAGTATGATTTTTACAGTATAACAAGGTAGATGTATAGATATGTTATAGAAAATGGAATAAAAAAATCTGTGACATTGTTGCTCATATATCTAGTGAACAGAAGTGGCTGATTTTGCTGTTTAGTGGCAGGGGGACTAACATTTCTCTCAAAGGGAGCTTCTCTGAGTAACATAATCAGTAGTCTCACCTTCTGTCTCCAGGCCAAGATTCCAAGCCCAATGTGTCTAATACAGAGACCGTCTTGGGAGTCCTGCTAGGTCTTGTCCTTACTACACTCCTGGTTATCTGTGTGCCCCCTGCCTATAAAAAGATGGTGAAGAAATGTAAGTGATTATCTCTTGTTGTGACTTGGAGGCTAGAAGTGCCTGTCTTTCTAGAACGGCATCACAACCATGGGGGTTCATTGGAGCCCCTGGAAAAAAAACATGCCCATTTGACTTCTAGCATAGCAGTGTACCATTGGGAGGGTCGGGGCTGTAACACAGAAACATAGAAACAGAGCGAGTCAGAAGGGATCTCCCGGGCCATCTAGTCTGACCCCCGGCTCCAGCCGGCTCCACTCACGACATGCCCACCAAGTGCATGTCCAGCCTATCTTTGAACACCCTCAAGACAGTGCCTTGTCTGTGGTCGTCCACTGATTGACTGAGATGAGATTTGCACCAGAGGCTTTGTTGTTCACAGCCTCCTTTCTAATATTGCAGTAGGCAATACAACACTTGCTCTGTGTTTGTACACATTAGGGGTACTTCCAAATTAAACCTTTACTGTCCAGCTAGTACTGCCTGCCTATTTCACAGAATTTTGCAGGAGGTCCAGGTGTTGTCATCTTATACTTGCAAAACTCCCGTGTTTTTCCACTGTTTCTTTTGTCTTTTTTTTTCCTGCCACAAAAAATCTATCATGGATTAAAAGAAAAAAATAGCTGCCTATTATATTCCAACTGTTAAAACTAGGAAGTCTTCTTTGGATGTACCCCAGCTTTCTATATCTACCTTGGGTACTCCTTCTTGTTACCTGTTATCTTCTCCTTCTTGTGTCCCGCCCCCCTTTACTCTTTTTGTTTATCAGTTGCTCTGAAAAACAGAATATAGTCTTTAAGACTAGTAGTGCTTCCAGAAGAATGGCTGCTAGTGCTAATTAGTCATAGATCTTCAGCTGTAAACTACAAGTAGAATTGTAATTGATTTTCCACATTATCTGGAGACACTGTGCATTCTGTCTCTGAGCAGGTTCACACAACCTAACAAGCCGCAGTGGTTTCTTGTGCAGGATGGTTGCTTGGGTCATCTGAACCCTGTCATGGTATTTCAGCATGATACATTTAGTTTTTAGAAACCATGATATGAAAAAAACCATCTGTTCAACAGTTTCTATACTTTGCCATAATTTATCTGGTCATCTGAGCCCAGCATCATGGTTTTCTAAGTCCTAATATGCAGCTGCCACAGAGTTCCCTGGAAAGATTGGCTGCTGCTGCAAGAGCTGCTCCAACAATCCAGCATGGGATTGAATTTCAGGCATGGTGGTTGATGGGATACATGCTTATAGCAGGAGAACTGAGTGAGCAGGGGTGGCGGGAGGGGACCATGCTAGCACAGAAACCACTTAACTGTCTGTCAGGCAAAAAAATTACAGCGTAAATTGGTTTATGATAAAGCTAATTTTTAAACCAAAGTGTTTAAGAACAATTGTTCTGGTCACCATCATTAACCTCCTTGATAAAACAGTGCTGAATGTTTATATTAGTCCCTTTCAGCCTGGTGCCCTTCATGTTTCACCTCTATCGTATGTGGCCAGTGGTGAGAATTGTAGTCTAAAACATTTGCATGGTACCAGGTTAAAAGAGGCTTATATATATGCATAGCTAGATTGTATTATACTGGTATAACACTTTAAGGTGTTCTCATTTAAATGAGATTTTTCTATGGTATATATGGGAAAGTGTTTTAGCACTATGCAAATGCTTGATTTTTAAAACTGTGATAAAAGTAGCACCCACTACAAAGAGTATAAAGTTTTCCTACACAAAGTATTTATTATGCACTTGCGATTTCTTACACTTGTATGTGGATTCTTTAGATGAGAGACATTGTGTCTCTCTGGTTCCACTTTTGTTTTTTTAAGAATACTTTCTCAGAGTCCTTTAGAATGGGGAAATTGGGGTATTATTTCTGAGATCCCCATTTCTACTTGCATATTTGTGCTATTCTGCTATGGCATAGCACCACCTAAAGGTTATGTAATGAAAAGGTAGGAAAGGAAAAGCTCTTTCCACTGAGCTCAAACCATAATTCCACACCAAAACTGAAAATACGTACAGTGATTTACTGCTTTGTGCAAACTCATAATGAGTGGTGAGCCATGAAAGTTTCAGTTGCTTGTGAAGGCATTACCCAAACTGAAACCATACACATTCAAAAAGGAGAGTACTGCTAAGATAAACTATACCTGAGATTATATTACCTGTCTGTCCTCTAAAAAGTCAGAGCTTATACAGTAAAAAAAAAAAAAAGATGGAAGCAACACTGGGAAAACATGGAAAAGTTGCATGTGGAGGACAGCCTCAAGTGGGACCTCTTTAAAATGTAAGCAAACCAACCATGGTAATTCTGCAGTAAATGCATTAACTGGAAGCAGCCTAACTATTCTACTACAGGTAGACAGTTGGATTTTTGTTTGATATCCTATTAGAAAGTGGCTTCTCACTCAAACACAAAAATGATCACCTGTTTCACTAGATATCAAAAACAGTGGGAACATGTGCCAGCTCCGGCACTGTACCACGTACCGTTTGTATATACACTATAAAAACTGTTCAGCTTTAACCACATCATTTTTAGAGTCATACAAACTGGGGAAAGGGTTCGTTTGTATCTTTGTTGCTCCTCACCCATCACATACGTATCAAACTTCCTTTTTGTCCACTTGATGCAGATACCAAGAAGAAACAACACCAATGGATTGGCCCAAGTGGAATGAGTCAAAATGGTAAGGAACCAACATTCAGGATAGAGGACAAAAACCTGGAGTCCCTCAAACTAATTTTGCATGCAAGAGTCAAAAAGAAGTGCATGTGAATCACTCATAACATAGGTGGATAATGATAATGCAAGATTGACAATGAAAAAGAATTGAAATTGAATATACATTCTAGTCAATTCGGGTTTTAAAGGAGATGCAGCTTCGCATGTCCATATTGGTAGTACCTAACATGCAACTGTGGCAAGATAGATGGATAGACCTTTGGGTTCCTTGGCTCAGTAACAGGATGTCTGTTGATCAGCCGGTTGGTTCAGTGGTTTACAACAATAACCAGCTTGGCTTGATGGCTCTTGTGAGCATGCAATAGCACTGGGAGTATTCTTCCAACCAAGAAGCAGCAATCCATCTCTGTTTTTCGACTGAGAAAGTTTCAGACATGGAAGAGGGGAACGGCAACCTTGGAGTATAACTAACAATGGTCAGGCAGCTTGAAGTGTTGAGTTGGGTTGGTATTTATTGCAGCAACGTAAACATCTAGGGGAACTGCAGCATCCAAAGTACAGGCTTGTGTCTGGCGATGAGGATAAGTCATTCTCCAAATGCCATCCTTCTTTGTTGCTGTTACATAAAGCCAGTAGTACATTTGTGTGGTCCTTCTAAACCTTTTTGGACTGCAAATGATCAGGGCATACACTTAAGACACTTCAATGTCTATAACATTCAGATCTCTCTGAAATATGCAAGTATCAGACAAGATATTGATGACTGACTAGCAGTTACGGTGTTAAGCCTACCTGAAAGATACATCCTGGCCTCAGTGCCGCATCCCTTTTAGCCAGAAAAGGAGTGGTGATAATTTAGCAGTGGTGGAAAGGCGCTGTCTGGACATACTTATAGGCAGCATCTTCTTATGATTTCACATGTCCTACAGCTAATCCTGGCATTCCGAGCAGTCAGGTTGAGCCCTGGGGAAAGTTCTGGTGTCAAGACATTTTGGACGCCCAGTGAGAAAAAAGCACTACAGCTTCCTAAGACCTTTGGAGTGGGATGCAGCATCACTCAGCTTAAACCATCTGGCATAGAGGAATTGCCACATAATTCTATGCAGTCAGAATGTCATTCACCTCCTAGCAAATATGAGGATTTTCATTTTGTACTACAGCCAAAATGCATTTTAGCTGAGCAGCAGAAAGCTGCCTATTTAATTCTGTAAGTGTCCCTTCTGCCTGTCACAGAGATCCTATAGAAGAACTGCAATTCCATTGTTCAGTAGTTACATCAGAGGAACAGTGGAAGAGCAATGGATTTCCACATGGGTCTGTGTTTTATGGTGGCATGCAAGCATCTGAAAAATTGTCATTAAGAGCTTTTACTCCCTCTAGAGGCAGAAAATGGTTGGGCAGACAGTAGGTTATTGCAGGCCTGCTCCAACCAAGTGAGCCTCTCTCAAGGTCAAAGGAGGTGTAATGTTAATTATAAGATGGCAATCAACATGTCTAGTATTTAGATTTTAAACAGTGGGAAGGAATCCCTGATCAGCATGTGTGTGGATGCTTCCACTTCAGCTCACGTGAAAGTTGCCTTGCCACCACTACCAAAGTTGTTCACCTCCCTGGTAAGGAAGCAAATGACATCCAATTTTGTCATGGTTATACCTAGGCAGGCCATAAGATGTGCACATGCATACTATAGAAAGGGTAACATAAATATCTTGCTACAAAAAATGTGTTCATCTTTTTCTTTTAAATGGGCCATTTTATGAATGTTGTGGATGCCAACAGGTTGTCACAGTGTAGACTTTAGGTGATGTCCACACTGGATCGGGTACAGCATCACTGGTCTGTTTGTCCCTTTGAGGAAAAAAGACATTTAAAAGGTGGCATAAAGACCAGTCCCCCTGCCATACTGGTGCTTATGTTTTTAGCTGGAGATAAACCTGAAGACCCACATGTTCCCATTACTGAAGGATTTCAGGTTTCCATTTTAACAAAGCAGTAAGTTTAGCTTCAAAGATGGAGGAAACTTTTTGGAGAGAAAATGATTCCACACTATGCTTTTCTTTAGTTTCATTCCACCGCAACAGCTCTGCCACCCTCCAGTCACGCCCTGAAAGCCACATTGTTCAGGAAGAGGAGAACAAAGCATTGAAGAAAAACTCTTACCTCTCACCTTATGCAGGTAATAAAAGTACTGCAGTGTGACCTCTCCAACCTGGTGCGCTCCAGACACTTTGGAGTTCAACATCCATCAGCCAGCCAGCATGGCCAATAGTTGGGAATGCTGAGACCTGTACACTAAAGTGTCAGGAGGAAACCAGGTTGCAGAAATGTGCTGTGTATACATTCTTTTTAAACCGCCATTGGTGTATCAACATTATTCCAAAGAAACCAAGCCTTGCTGCGGCTCAGACTGGATCTTCTGGGATTAAATCCATTTACCAAATTGCTGATACTGTGCAGGTGGGAGGATTGAACAGCATCCCATCTGAACTGACAGAGCACTGGGGCCAATGAGACTCTGAGTTACTCTGGCTCTTTCTCTTCGTTCTGCATAGTTTATCCAGAGGTGTCGGTGAGCGCAGTGTAGATTTGGTCCTCTGTAAATGAACTATGGGTAACCTCAGGCACGCACCCATTCTTCTGTCCTCCATCTGTGTTCAGCAGTTTCCTGACTATCAGGCTCTCAGCAAAGCATACTTCTTTGTTACATGGAAATGCTGCAAACTGCTTTCCACAAACTGTACTGTGCATGGTGTCCTTTGTCACTTGGGTTTGTGTTTAAACCACAGTATGACACAGTTGCCCACAATAGCAAGCTATTCATGTAAACATCTGTCAGCATCATAGCTATTTGTGCTGGGACTGTGATAAGAGGAGTTAAAAATATTCACCACTGGCTACAAGGATAACAGAAACAGAAGAGCTTACATAGCCCGAAACTCAATTCATTTCTTCTATTAAGAACCTGTGGAAGTGGAAAAGGACATTGCCAGTGATTGTAAGCATCTGTTTGGCACTTGGTTAGAACTGGAACCTATGAAAATAATGATTATCTCTGCAATAAATGAACAAGAGGCTTCTGTTAAAATAGAAACTTGGGAGCAGCCAGGCTGCATCCTTTCCTTTTGCATAGAGTTGGCATACATTCTTGGGGAAGTTTCTTCATACTGGGTCCGTGTCTATAATTCCAGCTTCATATTTTATTTTATTTCTGCTTTCTTGTAACACAAAGCTCCAGGGTAAATGGTTTGACTAGTTAAACCAGAAGAAATAGTGTGTGTATGTTATATATCAGGGTGAAAAATAATTCTTTTACTATATAGCTGTTAGCTGCCTTGAACTAAATATAAATGTTTTAAAGGCAAGAAAGGTGATTCAGTAAAGCCAAGAGGCAAGTTACTGATTTTTATGCAATACATAACTAATAGAACACACATTTTGGCATATTTCACTGATACATTTGTCTTTACATCTTGGCATCTCATTGTGATATGGCACTATTTGAAACTGCTTTTTTCTCCCACAGCTCTGGAAAGGGCAACCAACAGGACTTCAAGCCCCCTGGACAACTCCTCTGACAGCGATTATGACTTAAATTCTGCACAGCAGGTATAAATCAAATAGGTATGGATTACTGTTCCTTGTAGCACCACCACCCCGATAACAGCTAATAGAAATGTATGCAGAATGAGTTCATTTTTTATCAGATTTATCCAGGTCATGCCTTCTGGACCAAACATGGAGAGACCAGGCATTTCTAAGCTTGCAGTTAATTTGTGGATCAAAATGTTATTCAAGAGCATGTGCACATTTTAAAAATGCACACCTTGCAAAATGCATACGATGACTTAAATCAGTGGGAAGGACTGCATACCTTTCATGTGCATGGTTGATACAGGCATATAAACAAAATATGCCTGCATCTTCCTGTGAAAACAAAGATTGCAGTCTGATATGGTCAGAAGATGAAATAAACTTCAGAGTGGAATTTGAAGAACTTCAATGAAGCTGTGCTTTGCTTATACACACATTCCTAATCACAGATGCTCTTTTTTATCTTTAGTTCAACAGTAAACCCCAATGTGAGGGCATACATTTAAATCAGTTTCTTAAGTGGGGAACAATGAATGATCAAAATCTTCAAAACTCAGTGAAATGTGTATGTGGTGTAGAAAACAGCTGTGTGGCAGGCAAAAAAAAGTCTTATGCTAGATAACTCTGTAATTTGTACTTGCTGGGGTATGACTCTGTCCATAAACTCTGGCTAGTATGAATTTCATGAAGTTTATTCTTTACAGCCTGGCACAATTCAATAAAAAGGAAAAGGAGAGAACAGGATAAAAAATGTTTTTTTTCCCACCCACTACAAAACACCACCTGCATTCCCCTTGCAACCATAAATACGTTTTCTACCTTCACAAGATGTGATTGCAAAGCTAGTGCATCTCCTCTTTCATACACTGAAACTGATTACATGGTCCGAATCTCAAGCAGTGGAATTAAGTTGAGTGTTTATATTTGAGGGAATGGAAAATGTCCTTTGGGCTTAAAATGTAGCACACTGGTGGACAGCTGGATCTTTCAAATAGCAATTTTTTGGGGGAAAAAAATCAGAAAAATAGGATTGCTTTTCGGAACTGTGTGTCTCTGCTTGAACACTCAAGAGAACATTGTTGTTCTTGGCAAGCTCTGCATGGGTAAGGTTCCAAACCATGCTAAGTTAAATTTCAAGAGGATTCAGCACATAAGTAACCATCTGCACACATGCACACGTGCAGCCTTACACAGGCAGTGGAATGGCAAGGGTGATTTAGCTTTAAAAAGCAGGGAAAGCTAACATTGTGGGAACAAACAAGGGCTCCTTTTTAAAATGTTTCAAACAGAACCACTTTTTCCTGTATCCAGTGTCCATTAGCCTGAAGTGGAATATTGTATGTTTATAATTTACAGTTGTATTATAATTGAGCAAATACAGAAGCAGGTTGTAATAGAATTTATATAATTCTAGATCTATTGTTCTATCTTTGAATACAACTGCAATTTTATTTATAAATGTCTATTCTTGTTTATAAACTGGAAAGAAAATCAAAATAAGAACATGTGTGCAGCATTCACACCTTGCATAAGCTACATATAATTAGCATTTTGGTAGCCAAATTAAAGTGAGAAGTCAGTTGGCTGGCCTACTTTATCTATACTGATGCTGAGGAGGGTTTGACTTCAAATTCTGGTCAGGAAAATGACCATCAGTGCAAATTTCTATACATTTCTAAAACAAAGTTAAGCAGTCTAACTGTGACACAGCCATTCAGTCCTTCACTGTTTGGTTTTTCTTGGAGAAAAACATGTAAACTGATGGACTCTGCTCTTATAGTAGGGTACAATCATGCAACATTTATCACTCACTTCAACCAGAAAGTTTTACTGTTGCAGGGTTGGTTGTTGTTTCTAAATATCTTGCGAGGCGCACAGTATCTCTATGATGAACTTCATATTCAAACCTATGAACTATGTAGAACAAAACTTCAAGCCAATTTAGAAAATGGTGACAGCGTGTGCTTAAAAGCACACTCCTTTACCTGATGTTAAGATTATATTTGAGGGTTTTTCAGAAGGCACTTTCAGGATTTATAAAGTATGCCAGTGCCTGAAAGATGGCTGTATAATTAGCACTCATGTAATCCTTTAAAAGGACTAGCAGGCTAGAAAGAAGGCGAGAGAGACAATTATACCATCCTGAGTGCCACGGAGGAAAGTTGGAAAGAAAAAAACAATTCAAGCTAAAAAATATGGTTTCTTTCAAGGTGAAATTGGCTAGACCAGAAACATATGTTTGGTTCCACTCCAGTTAGCATGTCAGCACAACACGTCATTTAAAACGTGGGTTGCTGAGAACAACTGCATGCGCTGCTGCAATGTTGGATTGCCCACTGCAACTGGGAATAGCTAAGCAAGCCAGGGACCCTGTCTCCAGGGGGTTTAGTATTCCATCTGAACAAGGACTGTGGCCGACATGCCAGAGAAATGACCCTATGATAAAATTCTCTGGCTATGGTTAATTTCTCTGGCTTCAGGTACTGCTGTGTTCAGAACAGTCACAAGTTTCAATAAATCCTCGGTTATCATGACACATGAACCAAGCCTGTGACTCACAGAGGATCAGAAGAAACAGCTGTATTTATGAAGCAGAAAAACAGGGCAGAGACTTATTTTGAACAGAACCAGAAACAGCCACTATTCAATCACTTTCCACAGTATTAACTTAAATAGAATTTTTTCACATGGGGCTTTCCCAACCCATGACTAATTTTAGGGTTAAAAAATTGCTGGTTTAAGCTCCATTGTGGTTGTTGAGAATGCTGACAAAAGCTGCAGTTGGTTACATTTTATATTGTTTTGTGCTGCCTCACACTCATTCTTTATTACTTTGTATATTTGCTTGTACATGCCATATATCTCATGTATATCTGCAAACTGCTAGAAATAAAAAAAAAACTTTAAGAGAAAAGGAGGATGGATTGTGAGATCTTTCCATGGGACTGTGTTAGAATTAAAGCACCATTCACAGCGAACCATTCTGACGTCTGGAATCCTTTTGAACATTCTTGTTAAAAATCAAACTTATTCCTTTCCCTTTTTCTTTGAGCAACACACATCTCCATTACTTTAGCCTCTATTCACATCTTTCATTCTTGTGTAAGAGATTGTCTAATACTGGGTTATCAAAATAGATGAAAGCTGGGGTACTAACAGTTGACTAGACTAGGCAGAGCAATTACTTAATTATAAATCAAAATTAAATGATGACAGCACAATAGCTAAAAGTAATAATGGCAAATGGATGGTGGAAATTACAGTGCACAAGACAGAGGAAACACGTTGTCAAAGGATGCTGAGAAGGATTAAGCTTATTGGTCTACAGGGAGGATAGATGTATAGCTAGACCTATTAAGAAGGGTACCGACAAGAGGAAAGGCCAGGTAGTGCAGAGAGCCTGTGACTGTGTGGGAAGGATGGTGAAGGGTCTTATCAAGACAAACATCACAGGAAGAGGTTAGCAAGCAAAAAAAAAGAATCAATAGCAAATAGGAACAAGTCACAGCTGCATTTCTAGAAATCATCATCATAAGTCTGTATGCAATTTATCAAGTTTTATTACCATAATTACAGATACGGAATTGCTCCCATCAAATTTAATAAGCAGTTGTTCTATTAGTAGTGTATTTTAAATAAATCATGGGCAAGCAATAGGATAAAGTGCTGAGCAAAGCCATTTCCATTAGTTCCTCTCTGTTGTCCCAGTTGGTAGCCAGTGTTTCTTGTCAACAGAAGAAAGTGGGATTGTAAACGAAGGCATCATGAATGTCCTCTGTCACACTCAGAGGCTTTTAGAGAAAAGTAACTGGATATGTTTGCAGCAAACGCCCATCAGCTTCAGTGAAGTATTCCACACTGAGTGGTAGTTACAGGTGCAGAAGCATTTTGTCCATTGCTTCCAAGCCTATAAATGTTGTGATGTGGCTTGTCAGCCCTGCTGCCTCACCTTCAGACAGTTCCAGACCCCCTAGTTCACATCTTCCACATACCTAACACAACTATTGTGTCTGTTCAAAGGGGAGAATATAGATAAAATTAGCCGTGGTAAAGCTAGCGATGGTGAAAGCACACTGGACGGGAGGAAAAGCAAGACAGGTAACCTCCATGGCAGAGATGGGGAAGCCGTGGCCTGTGGAGGCTTCCCATGCAGTCCCTCCTCTCACCCACCTCGGTACAGCAATTCCACTTTTAAGGACAGACCCCTATGCATAGAAAAACATGCATGGAACTATGCTCTAAAAGTTCAATCGTCATATGGGGGCAGAGATGTGGGGTTTCTGCTGGGGAAGGGCAGGCTAACCTTCCCTGCACTATGAACCCCTACAAAACTGCCCCCCACACACACATACACAGCCATTACAATTTTAAAAAGGGGTGGGTTGGGGTGAATTGCGCTGCACAGCTGGGGCGGAAAGAGCTAACCTTGCCCATGCATTGTGCCTCCCCTAATGCGTCCCTACATAGCTCCTATTGGTGCCCATGGGAGCTTTATTTACTAGCCTGTGCTGGGAGGGGAGGGAGGGAAGAGAGAAACGCAGCAGATGGGAAAGGATTCAAAGAATTGTGTATGTGAAAGGGCATGGGCTACCTCTGGCCCCACCGGCCCTGGTGGGTGGTGGCCCCGGAAGGTCTGCCATGAAAAAAGAGCCCTCAGAGAAAAATATGCGCTCTCCCCTGGTTGTATGGGAATGACCAACATGGGAGAAATTGACAGATGCTTGATTGAAATGGAACAGGTAATGCAGGGTTTGTTCCTCTGTTGCATTTGCTTATATACCTCTTCTGAAGCATGGCAAGAGTGGGCTATGCTCTCAGTTTAATTTCTAATATTCTCTTGTGTCAATCTTGTATTTCCTTCCTTCCCGGGAAAGCACATTTTTTACATCAGGAAGGCCTGACAGATTTCTCCCTGCCAGGGCTTCTGTGTAAATATAACTGTATAGAATTCTTTTGTGGGTGTGTGTGTGTGGGTGTGGATATGTAGCTATATATTCTATCTTAGCATACTGAAGTAGAAAACTACACACACGCAGTTGTACACACACACAGAGGACCAGATCCAAGCTGCTCTCAATCAATATGTCTCAAGCAGCTTAATTGGAACTGAGAGTCTGGTCTCAGTCTGTGTTTTAAACTATGGCTTGAACTGCCTTCTTGGTCAGAACCACTGTCCATTAAGGCTGCCAGCAGTCAATGCCTGCTGATGCTTATGGACGGACAGCTCCCAAGAGAGGGACTCCTCGATTCTTACAGCATTACACCAAGCATACATCAATATAATGCTCACGCAAGCATGTTCCTCAGGATCATGCTCCCAAGTATGCAGCTTGGACCTCATTAGCTAGCAAGAACTGATTTCTCAGGCTACTGTGAAAAAGAATACTGTGTGGAAATCCTGACTAGTATCCTGACCAAGAAGGGCCTCGAGGAGGCAGTGGTGGTGGAGGATATCCAAAGGACAGGGTTGGGCCTGTGGGATATGGAGGCTGGGGGGCAACAGGTAAGCTAGGCACTGGAGGCTGTGTAGGATATGGGCACAGTGGCCTCCCCCCTGGTGGAAAATATGGAGGCTGCGGAGGCTGGGGGAAGCCTGGCCCTGTAGCAGCAGCCCTGGGAGACTGGTGTGGGTATCCTGGTCCAGAAGGAGGTGCTCTAGATGGAGACCAAGAGTACCCAGGAGATGAAGATGCATCTCCTGCTTGAGACTGGGGTACCGAACCAGGAACTGAGGGTGATTTATACGGAAACTGAGATTGGAAACTTGGTTGAGCGGAAGCAACATGTCCTACCAAAACAGGTGCTCCTCCAAAGGGAGCTGGTTGGAGAGCTCCATAAGTTGAAGGGCCAGCAGGCATGCAAGGGGAGGGACTGTAAGGTAAAGGAAAGGGAGGTGCCCCAGCTGAGCTATGCTGTGGCTGCTGGGTTACAGGCCCAGGAGGTATGTCGGAAGGATGCTGGTGGTTGAAATCAGTGCTGTTTGCTGACTCTTGTGAAGACTGACGTTTTCTCAGCACTTCCTGAAGTTTCTCCACTTTCACCCGCCTTAGGTGGGACAACTTCCTCATGGAGGAAAACTGCTCAAGAAATGTCTCCAGAGGCACTTCACCCTCTAGGAACTTTTCGGCCATTATCTAGAATGCAAAAGATAATTAACACAACACTTCCATCTGAAATTGGGAGCTCAAACTTTCTTGCAATGAGCCTTTCCTATTCAAGTGAAAGGCCCTACAAGCGCTAATCAACACAAAGAAAAATGGAAATACTTACCTGGCTAGAGAAACAGAAAAGGAAAAAACAGGGCTACACTAACTCAAATTAACGTTTCTAAGAAAGAGGAACATTAAGGCAACTGAAAATTGTGGTAATGTGCCTTAGACCACTAAAAGTAATGTAGTGAAATGGTCAGGTTCTTAACCTAAACTAGCTAAGCTTCCATGTAGCCTGAAGGGCCTGATCATGCCTTATCTTGGAAGCTAAGTAGGGTCAGGCCTGGTTGGAATCTGGATGGGGGACTTCAATGTTGTGAACTACCCAGAGAGCTTTGGCTATGGGTGGTATAGAAATATAATTAATAATAATAATAATAAATTTGCTTACACTACGCCTTCTCAACCAGAGCAAGGATTGTTAAAGACATAAAAATATCTATATCCTTGTTATCTATGCATTTATTTTCAACCCTGCCTATTAGCCAGGATGACTCTCTGGGCAGCAATGGTGTATAATATAAGACTATAGACTATATATGAGTATAGAATATATATTATATGCCCTACAATATGAGGGCAAAAGGGAGGAAATCTTGGTCCAGCATTAACGAATCATCTATGCAATGGATGTTCCCAGGTGTAGATACTGGGGTAGATAGCAGGGAAGGAAAAAGAGCTTGCTCATTTTTGGTCGACAGCCCAATGGATCTTTGCCCATAATAGAAGGGGAGTGACTTGGAGGCACTAAAATGCACCATCTTGAATGGGGAGGCGGGAGGCAGTGGTTTAAATGACCAGGGACAATTTCACTGGGAGTTCCTCGCAATGTCCTCTGGCAATTGGCAGCTAAGAAGTACAAGTCTTTTGTCAGTAGAAAAGAAATATAGTATCAAGTGGAATTGCAGAATGTTCCTAAGCAACTTCTGATTTCAAATCTGTCTAGACTTTTCCAGGAAGAACTAAAAGACTGCCCCACCGTGCCTTCTCTTGTACACATATTCCAGCATCACCCACCAACAGCACAAAGCATTCTGCATCGCATCAGTTGAGATAAGAAGCGGCATGATCGCATCTTCTTTTTTCCCATCATCACTCACAGTGAAATGGGCCAGATATAACCCTGGACTATGTCGGGCATTCTCCATTTAGACAACACTATTCAATCAGTGGCCACACTTCCACAAGGGCTTAGTGTGATATAAAACACATCATTAACAATTTGTGGCCCTGTGTGCCTCAAGGCGGTCTTCCAAATTTACTGAGCTAGGAAGCAGGAGAAAGAACAGCGAGATCTGCCTGGGAAAAAGCACAGGCCTGACTCTTCTGCAGCTGTCCAGGGGTGCCAGGAGCTCTTGCTGTGAGCACTGCCTATGATACCAATGCTGCTGGTTGGCCATCTATATTTTAGCAAATAAAGCAGACCCATGGAAGGCAAACATTTGAACATGTCACTGACAAGGGAGAACTTATCCTCAGGATGGCTGGAGTTTATATTGTGAGAAAATGAGGGCAAAGGAGAGGAAAGCTTAGTCCAGCATCAACAAATCGTATAAAATAAAATCTTATTTTCTCTTGAGTTTAAACCACAGGTATACCTCAGATTCTTCTTCGATTTTTTGTCCTTCTACTTGCAGAAGATTTAACAACGTATCAGGCTTCATTGCTGCTGAGAATTTCTCTAGTGGGGAAAATTAACCATGAGTAAAGGTCATACAAAACAAACATTTCTCCTTATATCCATCTCATGACAATACTAGCTCCTGGCTCTGTGCAAATATGTCTAGGTACGTGAGTGCTGCCACTTTCTAAGGCAACAGCCCTATTTCTTTAAGAGCCACTACCCTGAGGAAAAAGGGAGGGTTACCCAAAGACAGGAAAACTGTTACCGCTTATACAAACACTACTTCTGCACAGAGATTTTGACAGCTGTGCAGATACAAATGTCACTGGCCCTATTGATTTGTGAAGGCCTGCTGGAAGCCCCAAAACAGAACCAAATTATCTTCATATAGGTCAACCTCCCTCCTTTCCCACCATTCACAGATACCAAGAAACCAGTTCACAGAAGTCAAGAAGAAAGAACCATCTCCAGATAAGGAGGCAGCAACACAGAGGAGCAACAATAATAAAAATAACAATGCTTGGGGTGGGGGGGAGCCTACAGGCTCTCCTGCCCAGATCGCTCCAATCTAGGGAAAGGTGATCTACCCAGTTTTGCCTTCTGTTCCTGGCACTGCTCCACCAGCTCTTGCAGAATCCGGTATTTGTCAGAGAGGTTTGCACGTCCCGTTTCTAGGGGTTCTTGGAATTTCAAGTTCCGCTCTGCCAGGCTACGATTTGTGGCCAGAGCCATCTCCCTTTCCAGCTGTATATCCTGGATCTGAGAAGGAAAACCCATTATTAGGAAGGAGAAAGTTCCCTTCAGGCCACCTCCCTCTCTTCAGTCTAGCAGAAGCATTGTATGTCAAGAGGTACCTCATTGGACTCTAATGCCAAGCGGGCAATCTCCTCCAAATTCTCCTGCAACTCCTTCAGCTCATCTACAGTCTTGTCTCTAAATGTCTCCATCTTTTGTGGGGCTCATGAACTCCTCTGGGAAAGAGAAAGAAGAAATAAACATGAGGAATTAACAAGTTTCATACCATCTGCTGGGCACTCCAATCATGTCATGTGCTGGTTATAATGGTCACAACCCTGCCAGAATCCAAATATCAAGTGCCTCTGGCTGCAAGACGGTTTTGTCATTTTTAACTACTTGTTTAAATAAATCCTACTCTCAGATCTGTCCAAAAGTGTAGGGACCATGAACAAGCTCACTCAACCCACCCTCACTTGTGCTCATTGAACATCCAGTATATCATTCCTTATATTCCAAGTTTGCCCAGGAAAGATGACATAATACTGTCATAATGCTTCTTAGACTCAGTGCATCTATGCATCACTCTACTGCACGAAGGCAAGAGCAGCTCAGGTTGACGTGATCCCACCAGAACACCATGCTGATTCCATATGCCCAAACCATGAAAATCGTTATTGTGCAGGGGCAACACTGTGCAAAACCGAAAACACTGTTCAGACCGACAAAGCAACATGATAATTTGTTAACTCCCTGTATAGTGTGGGGTATCAGGTGTGCTCATTCAGCCTGAGAAGCCTTACTTACTTAATGCTCTTTTCTTGTAAGGAATCCAGGGCAGCTCACATACCCTTCTAGCTCTCCACTGCACCCTCACAACAACCCTGTGAGGTGGGTTAGACTAAGAGTCAGTGATTTCCCCCAAGTCACCTAAGGAGCCTCATAAAGAACCCAGACCTGAGTCCGAGTCCAATGGTATGCCACAGAAGCTCCTTGTCAGAAAGCACCCACAGCTTACAAAGAGCAAGCAAGCTTGGGAAAACAAACAGTTCTGATGCATGCACCGACAAAGTGTCGAACTATCTGTTTACACAATATTGTGTCATCTGTATCTGCACACGCACAAGCCAGTTCTGATCTGCTCTTTGTTTCAGGAAACCATTTAAAACAATTAGAACAACAGATTCAGGCAAGCTCTTTCTCCATACTTCCTGCTCATTTAGCAAAACATCCACAGTTCTTAGCATGAAACTGGTTCAAATGTTAGCCTTTCAAATGTTAAAAGAATAATAAACATTTATCTCTCTTTGGAAAATTGGGTTTCCAGCTTGTTCTCTAATAGATGGCTGAATCAGGAAGTGGGCCCATGGACTCTGCATTGTATCATGAGTGGTATAATGACACAGATAATCCCAAAGGCAAGGCCCATGAATAAGGGAAAAGTAAAGCACTAACACATAGTAGCTTTGTATTCTCTTCATATTATGTTGAAGTACCTGTCTATACTCCTCCACACCATCTACTTAACAGTATTTTTTTCTAAATAATTCTAGGTTTCACGGCAGTGCATAGATATCAATGTCTGTCAATAGCAATTGATCAAGTGGTCCTTTGCCAGTCAAGAGAGAGACCCAACCTTATTCCCCTTCTTTTTCTTGATAGTGATCAGAGGTAGAAACAAACTTTTCCACCTTCCATTACTTGATTCTTCCCAGGGAAAAACATAATCAGTGTCCTTGGATTGCAATCTCATCTTTCCTTCTTACTATTTTTGGCTGCATCATCTGCTGGGATATCAAATGAGGCGTCTTCCATCCCTTTAACAGCCAAGAGTCCCTTCCCTGGCCCCGCAAAAGCTTTTATGTACAACAAAGTTTACGCAGCCATACGGCCCAAGTTTCCCCTTGCAGTCGTCCATTGCAGCTGATCCTGCAGTTCACTAAAACCAGAAACCTTTGCATACAGCTGCACCAGAGCTGCATCTTCGATTTTTCACCATTTTATCAGATTTTTTGAACCTAGCATTTTGCCCTCTGTTCTCATAAAAGATGAGGTTTAGGCACAACTAAATATTAGGCACAACTAGATAAAGAAAATCCTGCTTTTTATGTTTTATGACAAGCCAGGTGAATAAGATGAGGGAGTCCATGTTCCCCCAGCATAGTTTTCCCAATGCAAAATGCCTTCTCCAAAGCTCGTATCTGCCCTTTGAGGCAAAATACATAGTGGCTGTAATTGCATGTAACTCTAAGCCATGCTGCACAGTTACTGCACAGCATGGGATCGCCTTGTGTCCTAGGCTTCCATGCGTCTCCATCTTCCCTTCAAATAGTGCCACATCAGCCCCATGGCTCAGGATCAACCCCAGGGTGCACCACTCCTGCTTGGGTCACCTGCCTCTCCGTTGCCCCACATACTCCGCTGGGCGTGAGTGCAGCCGTGCTTGGATTTTCCTTGCTGCTCAATGAAGCAACTGCTAGAGTGGCACTGTTGCTCTGGTGGAACACTGCAGCAGCGCTCCCCACTGCTGCCCCGCTTTGTGCCAAAGGGCAAGCGTCCCCATCCCGCACTGCAGGTCTCCCCATCTGCCTGTGCTCAGGGCCCACTCACACTGCAGGGGCTGCATCCCTTCATCCAGGCACAGGGAAGGCATTTGTGCAGGCAGGCTGTGACAGCGACAGAGGAAGCATGTCCTGCCAGAAACTTCCCTTAAGTTTCCCCTTGTGGGCATCTGTCTGGGAAAGTTTTCTGACTGGCCACAAGGGATGTGCCCGTCCTGCAGCTGTGCCGGAGGGGTGACAGCATGGCTTCCTGACAGGCCTCAGGAAGGCCAGGATCAAGACAGCAGTGGCAGGGAGGAGGGGAGGACAAGCAGAGACCTGGACTTCTCAGGGCAACTGCTTTCATGGCGATGCCCATGTACAGCACACATGCCCCCCTGTGTAAAGCTGCCTTCACAAGAGGAGAGTGCTGGCTTCCCAAGCAGAACAGACAGACAGACATTTCAGAGTATTGCTCCATCAAAGTTCAGCAACCGGACAGGAGCACCCAGCATGGCTGCCTCCACAGGGCTACTGCTACAGGTGGTGTGGCGTGATGTCCCACCACAACCAGTATTCCAAAGCTGTGGCTGGGCAGTGGGACAGAGGAAAAAGACAGACAGAGGGAGAAAGCAGTGCAAGACAGACAATTAGAGCACAGCTGCAGCTACTTCAGCAATTGCTAGGCAAACAGGGCAGTGAAAAATGGAGGCTGGAGCATCTGCTGCAGCCATGGGCATTCTTGCCACTAAACTCTATGGCAGCAATGTGGAAATTGCACAGAAACACTGTAAATGGGATCACACATTGTCAAAAATAACATTATGTGTGAATTCAGCCAATTAGTACTGGCTATTCCTGTGCTGTTTTCTCACTTAAAATCACTGCTGTGAAAGGCAATTTTCATCCAAGGGTTAATTCCTTCCCTCTTCTACCATGGCAGCCCCAATTTAATATAGCGTTTCCTATAGCTGCAATTCCTTAGAATAAGCAGCAGAGATCACCTGCTATCACATATACTGTGGCCCTTATTTTCCAAATATTCTGTCCAACACAAGTCCCAGTCCCTTGTAAACTATAATTCATACACAGCAGGAGACATAAACCAAAGACAATTTGCAAGGATGATAACCTTTGTATCTGCTATTGGCTCTTCCACCTCTGATTCAAATGAAACATCTCACAGGGTTGGCTCTGAGGATTCTGCATCAGTATCTGGAAGAGAAATGAAGTAATGCTTGTATTTGCCAACAGTGTTCCAAAGTCAATGAATGAAAGGCCTTCAGGCTATGGAGAAAAATCAACTCTAGTTCCAAAATTCCCAGCATTATTTGAGCAGTATTAACCAAGGGCCACTGTGCATTTTAAAAGTGTATACAGAAGTTTAAAGTGTATACATGGAAATCCAAAGTGTGCTTACGACAACATATGGTCAGGAAACTCTGCAAGTCAGAAGGACTGCAGTTCCTTCTTGGGTATACACTTGGCAGGATATCCCAGTTTTCCTTTCTGTATTTGCTCCTGATATTGCTCCTGGTATGCTGTTACTTACTCAGTGATAAAACCAGAGAGCACACTCTCATTTAGCAAACCTCTTCATGAACTCCAGTGGCCACAAAGGAGTGTCTGCTACTTTATTTATTGACAACATTTCTATGTGGCCACATAACATAAAAATACCCTGGGCAGCTTACAGTAAAGCTACATAAAACCAGCTTAAAATAAAACACAAGACCACCAATCAGAAATTAAACACACAGCACACCAAATACTTAAAAACTGAATTATTTAAAAGACCTGGCTGATCAGAAAGATCAAGTATCAAAAAGAACAGAGGGGTGGCATCAGGCAAAACTCTCTGGAACGGCTGTTCTACAACTGAGATGCTGCTACCAAAGAAGCCTCAGCCTGTCAGTCACCTGCTTTACTTCCTTTGGCAGGGACTCTCAAGGAAAGGGCATCTGAGGAAGATCTTAAGGTCTGGGCATGTACATAAAGGAGAAGATGGTCTTCCATGTCATTAGCAAAATAGATGAAAACCAGAACCAAACAAAAGATGGCACATTCGTGAGGCACATTCCAGGGTATCAGTGCACATGCTAAGTTTATCCCACATTTGTTAACTAGTTCCTGAACCTCATGCATATGCAGGCAAACTTAAACTATATTCTTATAGATTTTTTATTTATTTCATTTCTTTACTGCCTATCAAGCATGCACTGTGTTTTATAGAAATTGTTACTGACTATTCACATGGGAATAACAGATATGGGTTATTACAATCAGCTGTTCTCCTGCAAAAATAATAGAAAAGATTTGCACTAAAGACATCACTCCCCAGGCCTAGGTACTGATGCAACTATCAGCATAAAGATCCCAATGCTAAAAAAGTTGTGTGACTAAACTTCTTGACTTAATTAGTGTATGGAAAAAGGTAGTCAGTCCCAACTACAGATGGAACAGCTTGAGGTTTGCCAGCAAAATACTGGCCACCCTCAAGTTGTTCTTCATATACTAAAGCACCAGTAGATGTAGGCATTATACAGAAACAGGCACCTTGAGATGATAACCCCCAATCAGTGCAAGGAGCACAAACAATATGCTCCAACAGGAAAGCCAGGAATGGGACACGGGGTGAATGAGTTTGGTACTGCATGAGGGTAAAGGAAAGCACGGTAGAGTTGCCATGCAGCCAAGCACTTCTAGTGCCACACGCTCGGCTCCTCCTCACTTCTCTTTAACCTCAACCTCAGTGGCAGCTGAAAAAAAGAAAAAGGGTAACTGCCGTACAATCATTCCACCTAATCAGCATATGCAAACAAACGATATACCCGCCCTCGAGAGATTTAACTCGGCGCCTGTTTCCAGTAGCAGAGGACGAGTGCCCTCGCGGAGAGGGAGAAAGAAACTGCCTTGGTGCACACGCGGAGCATCTCTCGTCGCATCAGCTTGGCCAGAGACCTCGCGCCACCTGAGGGGGAGGGGCTTCCGGGGGGCGGGAGCTCAAGCCAGGTTTGGGGAGCAGCTCTGTCGCCCCCGCCCCAGCCGCGCACAGCGTCGCCCAGAGCCTTGCAGGGAGGCGAGGCGCTGCGCGCTGCCAACTGTCCCTCTCCCCTCAGAGAGCTGGCAGGAGAGGAGGTGGAGGGGAAAATGCGGCGCGCTCAGGCAGTTACGCTCCCACCACCATCCCTCACCTGTCGAGTGAAGCGGGCGCAGGCAGGCCGTCTTTTCTTGCGAGAGGCCACGAGAAAAAGCTAAGCGACCAGCACCCCAATAATCCCGCTTTGCCTGCGGGAAGCCGGAGAGAGATCGGGCAGAAAAGGCAAAAGCAGAAAAGAGAATTCCCGACTGTCTTCCGGTTTCCGTTTGAAAGCCGGAAACTATGTCCGTTTATTCTATTCCTGCAAAAGAAGAGGAGGGAAAGGGATCAACGCATCATTCCCTCCCGTGGCGGAAATGGTCTATTCCTCGGGTTGGACCAATGGCCCGGCGCGCTTTTGGCTTGGCGGCCATTTTGGAGGCCGAGAGCAGCCCCGCGAAGGATGCGGGGCGGAGGCGGGGCCTTCGCAGCCGCCGCCTCTCTCCTCCACGCCCACGCGCGATCCCGGGAGAAGCCGCTCCGGCCCGCGCGGGGCACCTGGCGCGTCGCTGCAGCCTGGGCGCGCGCAGCGGCAGGGAATTGCGAGGGCCTTTTCCATCTGCCAGAGCTAAAGGTCTCTCTCAGGAAGCGTCCGGCAGCGATTGGCGCAAGGAGGTGTCCCCCTTAAATCTGCCGCACCATCACTATATTAACTGTTAATATAAGGTCCATATTTAAGCGTATATTTCCTGAGTCCCTCTGGTCCAGCATTGTGTTCGCGCAGCAGCTAACCAGCTGCCCGGCAAACCCGCAGCAGGACACGAGTGCAACAACACCTTCCATTTTCTTGGATGTTTTTAAAATTTGGTACCGTGGGAATATGCCGAGGATATCAGTCACTGTAGGTCGCCTTCATGCATTTATTTTGTTGCATCCCAAGAAGGCAGAATTTACAGCATGTATTTGGCACTGGTATAGTTAAATGCTTAGACAGTCAAACCAGAAATAGGATGTGGTGTGCACTTCCCTTGTATCTAAAATATGACCTTCTGCCATTAGCATTAGATGGCAATAATTTTCATTGCCACCTCTTAAGGTCGTATAAAAATACCCAAGAGATGTTTGGGAACAAATGTGTACCACCTATGATAAAACTAAACAATACATATTTGCAGTGCAGTCAAATTATTTGAGCCCTTGGACCATGTAAAGCAAAAGATTTGAAGTTTATCAAACCCAGATAATAGGTTCAGAGGTAATTTGATTATGACTATATATCTCAGAATGGAAAATGCTGGATATTAAAAGATATCTTTCTGTCTGATCAAGAGGACAAGAACCAACAAGCTATTCCAAATGCCAATGGAAAATAAAGTGCCTGCTTTAACAGAGAAGATAATTAACTTTTGGTGCAGGCATACAGTAGGCACTTGATCGCTAGAAGAGTTCAAATCAAGATACTGTTTATTTCCAAAAGAGATGATTTTATAGTGTAATACTTGCTTGCTTACCAGTGAAACCAAATTAAAGCACTCACATCAATTAAGCTCTCTAGATTTTCTAAAACAGGTTTTCTGAGGAAATTTCTCTAAAAATAAGTATTATCATGATAATTAAGTTATTAAAATGCAATATGATCACTGAAGATCCCCCATCACCACCTTCAGCACCAGTGGAGGGCTTAATTAGCAACCCATCCTTTCAGGAACACTGAGGAGTGACTAAAAGGTAGAAGCTAGTGCTTGGTCACCTTTTCTTTCCTCTTCTCTCTGTAAATGGAGAATAAAATCAGTGTTTCTTTCCTCCGGCACTATTCCTCCTTTAAAGAAAGCCTTTCTGATTGTGCCCTTTTTGCCTTCCCCTCCCTGAAATTTTACAGAGAAGCCAACAATGCAATCATATGCATGTCTATTCAGAAATAACTCACACTGACTTGTCTGGTGGCTCCTTCCAGATGAATGAGTATAGAGGGCACCAAGCAAGGGTCAAATTACAGTTTGGGCAGCAGGAGAAAAGAGTGCATTCATTTTCATATTTGCTTGAGCTTGAAGTGGAGAATGTTCATTGGTAGAAGAGAAAAGGTAGACATTGGGGGAAAGGGAAGTGGGGAAAAGCTCCTCTCAACTTGAATGCTTCCAAGTTGCAGCAAAGACAAATATGGCACATGGAAAGGCAAAATAGCTCTTAAACCCTGACAGGGGATCCATGAGACTGAAAAGAGAAGCAGCAGCAGCCACATCAAAACACCCAAATTCTCCTGCACAGTGAGACAAAGAGGGGACAGCATATTTTGTGGTGGGATACTGACACACAATAGATGGAACTGTAGTGATAGTGGTTTAAAAAAAAAACCTCTGAAATAAAGTCATGTGTGCCAGCATAGGTGTGCATGTGTTAATGCATTTTAAAGATCCCAAGGCAGCAATCTCTCATGCAGTGAAAGTACTATATATTAAAATGAAACATAAAATGATAGTTGCTACCTGATAAAACTCGTAACATGACCTTGAAAACACTCAGTTGCCCCACAATTGCAGTACCTCATATTGATGTACAGTGCAAAAAGATGTTAAAAACATAGGATACTGTATGGTAGTCTTTGCTGCATATCTAGAGGAAAGCAGTTACATTGCCAAAAAACACTTGTACTGCCATGCTTATGAAACGAAAGGACCCATTGTCTGAGATAAAAATTTATTGTGCTACTTTCCTATTCATCTTCTTTGTTAACACCATCTGCTTCAACAGGTGAGGATGCATTTGTATGCACTTACTGTATTTTGCACTATGCCACATATTTCCCCATATAAAGTTGTTGTTTTGTGCCATCCAGTTGTCTGTGACTTAAGGCAACCCCATGAATGAAAGCCCACCAAAGTGCCTATCCGTGGCAGCTCTGCTGAGCTCTTCCAAGTTCTAGGTGGTGGCTTCCTTTATGGGTTCAGTGTACCTCATATTCAGTCTTCCCTTTCATCTTCTGCCTTCAACTTTCCCTGATCGTCTTCTCCAATGAGTCTTGCCTTCTTATGCTGTGCCATAACAGCCTCTGTTTTGTAATTTTTTCTTCTAGGAAAAGCTCTGGCTAGATTTGATCTAGGACCCACTTGTGTGCTTTTCTGTCAGTACATGGTATTCACAAAGCTCTCCTTTAGCACCATGTTTCAAACACCTCAACTTCCTTCTTACTAGCTTTATTTACTGTCCAGCTTTCACACCAATACATTGTGGTTGGAAATACAATAATTGGGATTACCTTGGCCTTGTTCTCCAGCAAATGTCCTTACACTTGATTATCTTTTCTAGTTCCTTCACTGCAGTCCTCCCAAGTCTCAGTCATCTTTGAATTTGTTGGCTGCAGTCTCCACTTGAATTGACGATTTAGCTGTGGTATATGAAATCTTGCACAATTTCAATTTCTTCTTTATCAATAGAAAAGTTCTGTGGAGATGATTTTTGTTTTCTTTATATTCAGCCGTAGGCCTCCTTTAGTATTTTCTTCTTTCACTTTTATCAGTTGTTTCAAGTCATTGCTGCTTTCTGCCAGTAGTATAGTATGATCTGCATATCTTAAATTAGTGATGTCTTTTCTGCCAATTTTCACTCTTTCCTCTGATTTTAATCCAGCTTTCCTTAGGATATATTCTGTGTACAGGTTGAACAAAGAGGGCGATAAAATACATCCTTGTCTGACATCTTTGCCTATGGGAAGCCATTCCTTTTCTCCATAGTCTGGTCTCACAGTAACTTCTTGTCTGTGATATGGGTTCTGCAGCAGGAGAATCAGGTGGTGAGGTACATTTCTTTCAGCTCCCATTTCTTTCTGGTCCCTCCATAGCTTCTCATGATCCATACAGTCAAAGACTTCACTGTAGTCTTTAATATGATTAGCATAGGCTGATCTTTTTGTGAAATTCTTTGGTGTCCTCAGGTAGCCAATGTATATTTGGAACATGATCTCTAGTGCCTCTTTCTTTTTGGAATCCAGCCTGGACATCCAGCATTTCTCACTCCATACAGAGTAGTAGTCTCTGTTGAAACACTTTCAACATTACATCACTTGTATGGAAGATTAATGCAATGGTCCCATGGCTAGTGCAACTCTTTTGCATCTCCTTGGGGATTGGAATGTATATTGAATGTTTCCAGTTCATGGGCCATTGTTTTGTTTTCCATATTTGTTGACATATTTTTGTTAGGATTTGGACTGATTGATTTTCTGCAGCTTGCAAAAGTTCTATTTGTATCCTGCCTACTCCAGGTGCTTTATTCTTTGTACGTGCTTTCAGAGCAGCATTTCCTTTGCTTTCTAATATTGCGGGCACATCTTCATCTTCATAAGCCTGTTAATCTTTCATCTCTTTTGTATAGTTCTTCTGAATATTCTTTCTACCTTTTTATTTTCTCCTGGTGAGATAGCATGCTCTCTGGCTTGTCTTTTAGCATTCCTAATCTAGGTTTGAATTTTCCTTTGATTTCTTGGATCTTCTGGAACTTCTCTTGTTTTTCCTCTTTTGTTGATCTCTTCCATTTCTTTGGATCATTGTAATATTTATTTGTTTGCTTGTTTATTATATTTATATGCTGCTCCATAGCCCAAAAGGCTCTCTGGGCAGCTTAATTGACTGAAAGCAATGCAAATCTATTATTTATATGAGCTTTAAATTCCTCAGGGGTGTTACTTATTTTGGCACTATGTTTCTATTGGTGATCTTTTGAGTGTGACTCTGATTTTTGAAATTAAGAGCTGATTGATTAATTTCTGCAATCTGCTGCTTGTCTTGTTTTGGCACCAAGAATACAGCTTCTCCACCTTCAGCTTCCAATTGCATAATCTATTTGGTTTCTATATTGGCCCATCTGGTGAAGTCCATGTATACAGCTGAATGAACAGTTGTTTGAAGTATGTGTTTGCAATGAATGGATTGTTGGCTTCAGAAAGTTCTACAAGTTGTTTTCCTGCTTCGTTTCTTACCCCTAGACCAAATTTTCCTTGAGCATTTGATTTTGTTTTGTTCCCTACTTTTGCATTTCAATAGCCTAAGATTAGCAGCATATCTTGTTTAGGTGTTTTATCAATTTCCTCTTGAACACCTGCATAAAAGTTTTCAATGTCTTCCTTTCCAGCATCTATTGTTGGAGTATAGACTTGAGTGATGGTTATGTTGATAGGTTTTCTATTAATTCTGTTTGATATTATTTGGTCAGAATGTGCATTATAGACTCTTACTACCTGTGCTACATCTTACCTTAGTATTAGAGCTTCTGAATTGGTCTTTTCTGAAATAAAGCACTTTGTGTTTGTCTGATTGGAAATGCCCCATTCCAGTCCACTTTAGCTTGCTCA